TGAGTGATGAGGACATCCGCTTGTCTTGCAGTCAACAAGAAGAGGGAACTGTGAGGCAGAAGCGAAAGTCTGAATCTCCAGGCCATAAAACAGTGAAGAAGACTAAGCAGAGTGTGGTAGTACCATTGCGTGGCAACAGCCACAAATCCCGAAAAGGGAAGAGTTATGGTAGCGACAAGGAAAATGCAGAACCCCTCATCAAGGAGTGTTCTCTTTCATCTTCAAAAGGCATGGAATCTCTCCCTATTGCACAGGAGTAAGTGGTTGTCCCATTGTAATCATAGTAGTCAATCTAAATTTGGTAATGCATATGCAAGGCTCATAAGAGTGGCTATTATTATGAACTTGATTCAATGAGGAGTGACCTCGGAGAAAAGTAACTATCAAGCTGTTGAATCTGAGTTCAACCTGATGATTCTTTTATTGAAATCTTTCACATCCAAGGGAATACTTTTGTGAATGAGATAATGGGGGTTCCCAAATGTGCTGGCAACTTTTGGTATCAACTGCCAATACTGATGCAAAAAAAAAAAAATAACAGAGAGGGGGGGAGAACAGAATAATGAATGAGTATAGCCTGGCTCAATGGTACCTCCCTCCCTCTTCTATGTGTTGTTTTGAGAGTTTCACTCAATATCTTTATAGGTAAAATATCAGTATTTTTCATATGCATTAAGAACAGGCATTAAAAAGGCTCTTATTAACTACCTCTTGCTTCAATATTTTTCCTTTGGTACATTTTTTCTCTTAGCCTCCCAGTCTTGGCTTCCCCATCATGCAATGCCCTTTCCAGTAACTTTATTGCAAGCTTGCAAACATTTCTTCTCCCGTAGTTTCAGTCTCCCCGTAGCTGTGATTTATGGTATACCACCACCAGCTTTAGCTCATGCTAAATGAACATGAAAACATAATCAGCTTCCAGCCCATTAGTTGAATCCTGCCATCAGCACTTGCCTAGTATCCATACCCCATTGCATACTCTGCTGGAAAAAGTGAACAAAATTATACCAGGCCCCAGGGCATCATGCAGTTGAGAGTTAGTCTTTCAGGTAGGAGGTCTCTGGAGCTATACTTTCCTTGTTTAACCCTTCCATGAAGCTAGGTGTCTTCTCATTCTCAACTGTGAATGAATATGGTCTTTTATTTTGCTATAGGACCATTGCCAAAACTCCTTTGCATCTTCAGGGAAAACACGTGGCACGAACCCATACAAGCATATTAAAGCGTACTGCACAAGAGAAGCTGAAGAAGGCTGTACGTAGGAGCTCACACCGTGGAAAGCCCACACAGAAATTGGTGAGTTTCACATTCCAGGGGTTCCATGGGGAGTGGGAATGGAACTGGAAAATTCCTAAAGCCTTCAGTGTTCTAGAATATGATGCTTCTATTGGAATTGACAACCCATAAATGTTTTGAGCACTACTATAGCTTTGTGAATTCCAACCTGGTATTTAATAAGAAATTGATCATCTTCCAAGGTGGCAAAACGGAGCCCTAGCATTGTGGATGCTACTACCGATGAATCACAGCAGCAATTCCAATACCCTAGGACTGCTCCAGCTGCCAAGTATAACTTACGGAAGAATAATCCACAAACTTCTCAGAAAACTGGCAAAACTAAGAGATTTCTTCCATCTTCCTCTGCACAGACTGCCAAAGCTCTGGTATGATTCTTTTCTGGAACCTTTCTTTTCTTCACTCCTTCCTTCATGTAAGAGACCATGTGACTCATCAGATTTTTATAAATTGCAATGAGGTCATTTCTGTTGTCAAGCTGCTGATGAGCTAATTTATTTCTCAGACTGAGAATGAATCAGTTTTTTACTCCGAACAAGTTACATNCCTTCCTTCATGTAAGAGACCATGTGACTCATCAGATTTTTATAAATTGCAATGAGGTCATTTCTGTTGTCAAGCTGCTGATGAGCTAATTTATTTCTCAGACTGAGAATGAATCAGTTTTTTACTCTGAACAAGTTACATCATGGACCATAATACATTCTCATTGATGCTAATTTCAGGAAAAAGTAGATGGGGGTCCTGAGTATATTCCACTTGGAGAATTTACTGACAAAACCTATGGGGTTGAGTTGAGTGTAATGGGAAATACAGTATTTTGTGGGGATGAGCTGGCTGCACTCCATCGTTTATGGGAGAAGTGAACCTCAAAGTTTTGTCTAACCAACCAGGTGACTTCCTCTGTCAGGCATCATGCTCGAGGTCAATACATTCTCCAAGTGGAATTTACCATGCTAACAAATGTCTCATAAGAAACCCAAAGTATCTTTTCTTTGCAGAAGCCAGGCAAAGGTGGCAAGGTTAAGAACATTGCAACGGGTGTGACCAGCTTCATTCCTGCATTGCCAGCACATGGGCTATCACAGGAAGATATTCAGCGTCAGAAGGAGGAAGAGCATCAGAAGAAGATGGAAAGGGAACTTGAAGCTGCACGCAAAAAACATACACTTATGCAACAGCGCCAACTTGCACTAAAAATGTGAGCCATATTTGTGCTGGCCCATTCAGTCAGAGGATTTTTATGGAATAGTAGTTGTTTTCTGGTTTGGAAGTATCATCTGTGATATACAATCCCTCTTGAAGAAACTAGTCATTAGTCTTGTTAATCCAATATTTAAGGGACCTGACAATTTTGTCCAAATAAATTATCAGCCTTTTAAAAACCTTACTTTATTTTACTAGTTCTTTCTACTACTAGCTCCTTCATTTGACTTATTGTTTCAACTTATGTCAGGATTCTTGTCTAGGTCAAGTCAAAAGCAGCAAAAAATGAAGTACCATCCCTGTATGATGTTTCTTCACAGCCCAAGTGGGTTTATCAATAATCCATGAAAAATGTATAATGCTGTTTTGTGGAATTTGGAGACAGAGGAAGCATAAGGCCAAAAAAAATTAAATCTCTATTTCTTTGAAACTATGTTTTCTGCTATGAGACAATGGAGCAGCTCTGAGGCTGGCGTTTTTTTTTTACTCCCTAGTCTGCATATGCTGACATCTTCTCTTTGGCCCTGCCCAGCATGAGACTGAATTTCTCCATGTTCTACTTTTATTAGAGTGAACGAGATGGAATCTACAATTATCCCTTTTCCTTTGCCTTTGATGGAAGATCCTTGAAAGACCTCCTCAGGAGACTCCTTTTTCTTTGGTGTAATAATCATAACTTGATGACCCAGATTTTCACTTCAGTTGCAAAAACCTGTATCCAGCCATACCTTAATAATGCCCTTTGCCACCAGCTCAGTACCTGGATGTATTCTACTTAGGAGACATTTCATGCCTGAAAAGTTTTACATTCTGTTTTTCTCTAGCCATCATCTTTAGAATCTTAGATAAGCAATTGACTGCACATGTTATTACTGATTGTATCTATCATGGTCTCTTACATGAAGGAAGGAGTGAAGAAAAGAAAGGTTCCAGAAAAGAATCATACCAGAGCTTTGGCAGTCTGTGCAGAGGAAGATGGAAGAAATCTCTTAATTTTGTTTTTTTTTTTTTTTTTTTTTTTTTTTAGCAAAAATGAAGAGCGGACAAAAAAAGCAAAAGAAAAACGAGAAATGGAGGCAAAAGTGAAGCCTCCCTACTCAAAGGTTAAAGAAGGTTATGGGACAATGTCTCAAATGGGAGTAAGTTTTAGCTATGGTTATGTTCATTGAGATTAAACTTGAAGAGTCTTTATTATACAAATGTTGTTAATTAATGTTATTTGCAGAAAATGGTGGTGAACAAGATGGCCTCAAAGCATGTAAGTCAGCTTGACTTTCTTGGGAACATTAATCACCCCATCATTGAAGAAGAGTCTCAGACAGATGATGAGGCTTCAACTCCAGTGCAACCTACCAATTCCTCAAACAGAGGTGCTTTCAATGAAACATTCAATTTTGAGGAAAAGAAGAAGCTAGATAAAACAGCCACTCCAAAGTATCCCCATACTCCATCTGAAGTATGGATGGCAATGAAGGATGGTGGTGAAGTGGTCATATCAGCTACTCCTGCAGCTGTTGGTACAGTGTCCAAGATTGACCACTTGACTTCCAAGCCTATTTCATATATGGGCAGTCATGCAGTGCTGACACCAGCAGCTACAGCAAAGACCCCTATGCCTCTGAACCAAACTCCTGGAAGTAGGCATGGTACATCTATGCCCTGTCATGAAGACATGGAATCCACAACTCCAGCTCAGATGAATGACTATGGTTTGGATCATTTAGTCTATACAGCTGATGATGGTACTCCTGAGGAAAACCCATGTGCTCCTTCAAAACAGATTCCAAATTGGGCAAAAACCAGTGAGTGGAACTTGTCAGTCAGTTTCTTCCTAGTGTATCTCTATGTATATAGGGTGGTTTTAAAAAAATGCTCTACTGTTTTCTATGAGAAAAACACAGTTTCATAAATTTGGCAAAAAAATTTATATTGGATATGCGATCGATATTCGACAGGTAGAAGGTGTTGAAATGCTTGCCAGCTTTTTTTCAGCACCCCTGCCTAAATTGTGCAATGTCCATTTAGAGGTGAATTAAAGGTGCTTAGAGGTGGAGCATTCCACCTCAAGTGATGATGACCTGTGCTCGACCATCTTGGAATTCAATGAGCTTTTCAACTTTAATTTTTTAAGGGACAGTTGGATCCATCTGATACATGATAGAGAGGTTCATGAGTCTAGGAGGTTTTTTTTTCACTTTTGCAAGATGGCGCTGTATCCTGATAGAGGGCGCTGTTGTCAACCAGGTGACCGAGGGTGATTTAAAAAAACGTTCCACCGTTTTCGAAGGGGAGAAAGTATAACTTGTGTATTCAAGGAACAAATATAAGATTAATAAAAGTTTTGATATTGGACTTATCGGAAGTGTTGAGAAAATTGTCTGAGTTTATCTCAGAACAATTCTTTGAACTGTGCATAGGGCATATGGGCTTGAATCATTTATTCTCCCCTTTGAGAACAGTGGAGCTTTTTTGTAATCACCCTCGGTCACCCGGTTAACAACAGCGCCCTCTATCGGGATACAGTGCCATCTTACAGAAGTGAAGAAAAAAACCACTTAGACTCAAGTATCAGCTGGATCCAATTGTCCTTTGAAAAGTTCATTGAATTCTGAGACGGTCGAGCACAGGTCATCACATCACTTGAGGTGGAATGCTCCACCTCTAAGCACCTTTAATTCACCTCTAAATGGGCATTGCACAATTTAGGCAGGGGTGCTGCAAAAAGAGCTAGCAAGCATTTCAACACCTTGTAACAGTAAAATATCGATCGTGTATTTAATATAATTTTTTTTAGCTGAATCTATGGAACTGTGTTTCTCCCATAGAAAACGGTAGAGCTTTTTTTTTTTTAACCACCCTATATATAAGTTGTGTAGCAGTGCGCGAGAAGCTCGACCACAGCAGACAACACAACTAAATGTAGGAGAAAAGTGATATGATCCCATAGCTGGCTAACCAACACAGCCGACCCCAAAAAGTAAGACAATGGAATATAAAAAGCGGAGGATGAAAATAAAGGAGCCTTTGGGATCTGAAAGAATAGCAGGATCCTCATCAGGGGCACGGTCCTATTCAAATCTTTTTCGGAAATTCCACTAGCGCCAAAATAAGCTAGAAGAAAATGAAAGAGTATAGCTGAATGATTTTTGATTGAAAGAAACAACAGCTTAAGTCATTCTTGAAATCACCACAAATGCACACTCTATTAGCTAGAGAAAGCTTCCGCTCATGCTGCAAGAAGGCAGCCAGTGCAGTGTCCTACGTTTTACTCATGACACTTTGCACTGCACTGCGTTCTTATCTGTTAATTAAGACTGTTTTCCCCATCGCCATAAGAGACATAGTTTCCAAAAGGAAGGAACAGACCTACTTGACAAGGGGAACCACACTCTCACCATACAATGTGCGAGAATTGCCGAGAGTCTCCTTGAGCTATGTTACGTCCCTCAACAAAGGAATTAGAATGACTTTATTCCTTAGGCTTGTACGTGGGAAATTATCGACTAGAGGATGAAAGCTTACGCAGAACAATTCGTTAGCATTTTGGAAATCGGGAGATACAGCGGCGAGATACAACGGCGGCGTTCGCGTCAGAGAAGATCTCACTTCGGCTAACTGTGGAGCAATCGAACACTTATGGTGCGAAATCGGTGGGGCAACTGGGAAGATTGTGATAGGAATTTGCTATAGGCCCCCTAACTCTTCTCTCGAGGATGAAGCAGCGTATTTTGCACTCATGCGTAGGATCGGCGAGATCTCGAAGCAGGTATTGCTCTTCGGAGACTTTAACATGCCAAAAATAGATTGGTCGGTGCCGCAAGGGGGGTGCGAAAGGGATAGGGAATTTCTCGTTGCGGTTCAGGACGCTCTTCTCGTTCAGTACGTAAATGAACCGACTCGCGAGGAAGCTTTATTGGATTTAGTTTTTGCGACGAACGACGATCTGGCACGAGACGTTAAGGTACAGGATAACTTGGGAGATTCGGACCACTGCGCGATCACGTGGAATATCAAGCGGACGAAGAGTAAGGCCAAACCGAGGAAGGTTTCGTTCAACTATAAGAAGGCTAATTTCGAGAGACTACGTGAATGGGTTTCAGGCATCGACTGGGAGGCGCGGCTCCGGGGGCTGACGGTAGAGGAGCAATGGGGGACGTTGAAGACGTTATTACAGGGTTTTACGGAGGAATGCATCCCCAATAAGTAAATAAAATAGGGCAGGCATCTGGTCTGGTTTACGGGTAAAATCAAAGCGCTCATCAGGGATAAAAAGCGGAAATGGGATGCGTATAAGCGGATGGGAGATAGCACGGACTATGAGGAATATAGGAGGATCACGCGGAAGTTGAAGCGGGAAATAAGATCTGCGAGACGGGAGGTCGAGGAACGGCTGGCTAGCGATGCTAAGAGGAACCCTAAGGCTTTTTATCAGTATGATAGTGGTAGGTGTGAACAGTCGATCGGGCCGCTAATGAACAAAAAGAGGGAGTTAATTGCAAGCGATGAGGATATGCCCAGTATACTATACAGTAGAGTTCTTCGCTTCCGTTTTCAATGGAATCCGACTCGGCACCGACTTTGGAGGAGGTGACCTCGTCTCGCATCGAGGATATTTATATCATCGAGGAGACGATCGTGAAAATGATAAGGACGTTGAAGGTGGGCAAGGTGACCGGCCCCGATGGGATTCCTGCGAGAGTCATTAAGGAAACTGCGAGGGAAATATCGGTTCCGCTAAGAATTATATTCGAAAGCAGTTTCTCGTGCGGGGAAGGACCTAAGGACTGGAGACGAGCACACGTCATACCGATCTTTAAGAAGGGCGAAAAGAATAATCAAGGAAATTCCAGGCCGGTAAGTCTCACGAGTACCCCAGGGAAGATCATGGAGAGCATACTAAGGGACCATCTCTTGGATTTCCTCCAAGGAAACGCGCTCATTCGGGTGAAGGAGGTACTTTCATAAAGATTATGATAATGCGCATGTCCGGCATAGCGGAATAAAAGGGTCGAGCGGGAGAGTCGCGGGTGTCGGGGTGTGCCAAGTGAGCAAGTCGGACAAGGAGTTGAGTTGGAGGATAGTGAGGGGAAGCCTTAGAGAAGATGTGGGATATTTAGTGGACCCATGACGTTAGTGCTGGAGATCGTATGCTGTCTGTCACCCCTCCCTTACAGCTCTGGTTTATATGCAGGTATTGCTTGTCGAGTATCTATTGCCTAATAAGCGTCTCAGGGAACAGAATTTTGAATTTCTATCCCATATCCATTTTCTGTTTCTCTTTATTATTGACCTCTTTCCAAGCTGGTTGTCACAATAAAGTAATTGTATATTTAAGGAGTCAACGGAGTCATTATAAACCTCGAACACGCTGGCGATCTTCTTGTGATAATAATTAACGTCAAATCACGTCCGAGCCGCCTACAAAATGGTGACCCCGACGTGATCGTGCTCTCAAGAGGCGCGAATTGGCAACCAGTGGCGTAAGAGCTCAATATTTATTGTGAGACTTAAAAAAAGGAAGGATGCCTCCGGTTGAAGAGGCGAGAACGGGTGTTTTGGGTCCTGTGCCCTTCGCCAATGTAATATTTTTTTGTGCCCATGAAACATGGTGATGGGAAAAAAGGGGGTGTGAGTGTTGAAGATTTTCTAGAATCTCTTGTTTTTGTAAGCAGTAGGAAGATTGCCTCCGACGCCGATTTGTTGCAGCTGGCTGCCATACGGATGTATGACACTGCCAATAATTATCTGAGGGCTCACCCTGAGCTGGTCGAGAGCGACAATTACGAGCGCTTCCGACACGTACTCAAAGAGAGGTTTGGCCCCACAAGGGATCGCGCGCGTTTAATGAACGCCTTGCTGGCGGTCGTACAGCGACCTGGAGAGGGGGTAAGAGAGTATATCCAGAGGGTAGAATATTTGTTGGATGAGATCTGTCGGCGGGGTACCGCCGGGTCGGAAATTCCCACCGAAATCCAGGACAATTATAAGAATGATCTTGGAAAAGCTTCCTATACAAGGGGGCTTTCCGCTAATGTCAGGCAGGAAGTCCTTGCCAAAAATCCTAAGAACTTCGCCGAAGCGGCTAAGTTCGCGAGAGAAGCAGAGTGCAATATGGAGCTGTGTCGTCCACCGCCGCAGGGGATGATGCAAGGAGACGCTCAATCACAGTCTCAATCAGTAATATATATAGTGGAAGAACTAATTGAAAAATTAATCAGAGTCCTCAATGTTGTGCAATCGACGGTCACAAAAATGTAATGACGAACGGGGTGAATCAAGAGTTGTCCCGGGAGCTTTTGACGTCGACTGCTGGGCGCGTGGGAGAAAAGGCCACCTAGCACGGCAATGTCCCCAACCTTCTCCGCGCGGCAATGTGGGACTGCCAGTTACGTGCTTTGTTTGTGGCCAGTTAGGACATTTCGCCCGAAACTGCCCCTTCGGAAAGACGACGACAAGAAGAATCGATACATGGCAACCACCCTCACGGAGCGAGGGTCGACCCTTCCAGCAGATTCAGCAGAGAGATCGGGGCGCGGTAGCAAGGGGAGAGTCTCCTAGAGGATACAGGCGGGGACGGCCTAGAAATGGCAGAGCCCCGCCTATCAGATATCCCGCCTCTAACGACTGTCAAAGAGGCAATTCAAGGGGGGATGCGACCTGGCGTGGTCGATCGCCGCTGACACGGGGAATCAATATAGGCCCCATAGCGCCTGGAATGCCACACAAGGAACCGGAAGGTCGAATCCTGCCCCAAAAAACTTGAACAGCCATCCCCGAATATAAATCGGGGAGGAAGTGAAACACAAACCCGGAATGCTGGGAAAGTTCTATATATCACTGTAGATCAGGACAGTCCTATTGTTTTAAAACTTGAGGGAGTGCAGATTAGGGCACTAGTAGATAGTGAGAGTAGTATCCCTCCTTCATGAAGGGGTATGGGACGCGATCAAAAGAAGAAATCGGGAGATGGAGGAACGCCGGTTGCCAAGTACGGAGATACTTAAGGCCGTCACCGGTCATCCGATTCAAGTACTTGGGAAGTACTTGATGACGATTCGCACTGGTGGAGTAGAGATGACCCAAAGCTTTCTAATAGCGAAGGGTCTGCCCTGCTTTGGTGCGGAAGGAATCTTAGGTCTTGACATTTTGAATCGG